GTAATGGGTTCATGATGGCATGTATTTCCATGTCTGGGTACATTTTGTAAAGATAATCTGTGCTGAATTATTGGGATCACATGGTTCTAACATTGTGAAGAATGTAGAATGTAAGCTTGGAAGGGTTGCTCCAAGACAGTCTTCAAGGTTATACAAGAAAGGAATGGTAGAATGAGTAGACTTTACTCGTATGTTTTAATAAGTAACGAAGACTTTATGAATATTTTAATTCCACATATATTTAGTTAATAATTATATCTGAAAAACTCTTATATTTACAGAAAATATTGGAACAATAATGTATTCTACACTGGTATAATATTATCCGTAATGCAGGATATAATTTGGATAGTTGGACGATTAAATGAAAATGTTACAGTCAATTTTCCATCAATTTTAAACAGTTTTGACCCTCTGAAAATTCACGTTTATTACCCAATGAAAAGTGTTTACAGATACCTATTTATGCAATAGAAAAGGTTTAGGTAAACAGGCACGATTTGGAACGAAAGTTTAACTAAGGCTATTTTCCTCTGTTGGCGGTCGGTCGGGTAGCCCAATGGTTAAAGCGTTCGCTCGTCACGCCGAAGACCCGGGTTCGATTTCCGACATGTGTACAATGTGTGAAGCCAATTTCTGGTGTCCCCGCCGTGATATTACTGCAACTGTTGCTAAAAGCGGCGTAAAACCATACTCACTCACCCCTCGGGTGGCCAACTGACTATACATCCGGTAACGATTAAGGCCGGATTGTGTAGTGTCATGTGATAGTCACGTGAGAACAAGTTGCATAATGGATTCCTCAAAGTGCCGGCCGAGGTAACCACATGTTCTGGCTTGAGGCGAGCCGACTGCTTAAATCAATGAATATTGTTTTATTCCACAGTCTGCAACAATTATCGAACCTGGGGTATTCTTAACAATGATTGACAGCGCAAACAAGGACCTGCGGCGTCGGGGAACGATTATGCAGCCAGGACCCACACTATGACCACCTAATCCTCATATAGCTTTAGTTAGCTGGAATGCAAGCGTGAGTGAGAGTGACAGTTGTGTTGCATAGAAACGACAAAACACTTTCAATAATTATAAGAAATCTCTGCCAAAAGGAGACTCCATTGTACGATTCCGACTATATCATGAACATGTGTTTATGAATCACTGTTAAATAGTAATGATAGCAGGTGTTCGCGAATAGGTGAGCGTTTCGTGCCCCACCGTCGGCACCCGTCACAAACACATGCAAAGGAAAGTCAATTGTTCACCTGAAAAAAACACGGGAACATTTGACTGCTTTCACAGTTTTTGTTATGAACGGATGACAGCTCAAACTGGTAAAACGTGTTGGATATTATGTTTTCAACGGACAAACTAAAGGTCATAATCGTTGCGAATCCAGAATACAAAAAGACCAACACTGGATTCGACCAACTCAAGGGAATACTGAACAACTGTCATTAAACCGACTACCTTCTGTTTTCTCTCGAACCCCGTGAAGATTCCGGGTATAATGTTTATAATGTATAATGTTTAGGCTTCAGCAGCCAATGCTTCTCGACTAACGGGAAAGGTCGCTGAACGATATATGTGTGTATGCCATAATAGTGAATGAGTATGGTTTTACGCCGCTTCTAGCAATATTCCAGCAATATCACGGCGGGGGACACCAGAAATGGGCTTCACGCATTGTACACATGTGAGTAATCGAACCCGGGCCTTCGGCGTGACGAGCGAACGCTTTAACCACTAGGCTACCCCATGGCAATAGAAGTACAGCGTATCTCAAACTGTTGCGTTCCTAATTTGTGTAACTAATTCCGTTAAATCTGTTTATTATGCTCTTCCATTGCACGCTTGGATGCTCGTTGACAAATTACAACCACTACACAGTTCTGAACAAAGGAAGGGCAGTATGTTCCCTGCCTTCCTCTTGCATGTGGAGGAGCCATTGATGGTGGCCTCTATTCACAGGAGGCAATTGCTGAAGATTTATCACTTTTGTTTAATGATTATATTGATTCTGCCCATGAGGATGGTGAGTTGAACGTCAAACCGTCCCCATCAATAATAGATATTTGGTAAATAATGGTCAGTCACGCCAATCTGAACATAAAAGGGAAGGTGGGTTTGGTATAAATGATGTCGTGTCTGAGACTTCATGCATTTCTGTCTCGACATTGGATAATGGTTAGTTGGCATGCTATCAGATTGGTTACAGATCTCTATTCCTCTACACCTTCTTCGTCAATCGTGAAATGATACATTTTGTTTGTTTGTGTGTTTGTTTGTTGTTTGACGCCGTGCTCAGCAATATTCCAGCTATATGATGACAACACTATTGAAACACCCGCGGCGTCATTTTCACAACGTGTTGGGCAACGTTTCACCTTTCAAGTTCATAATGCACGTGTTCATCGTGTCAGGATTGTGACCCAATTCCTCGACAAAATACCCACGTGTCATGTCATGGCCAGCACTCAGTCCTGACCTTGCCCCCATTGAACACGTCTGGGACGTCGATGGCAGACGCGTAATTTAACGTAAAAATCTGCCACCACTCCCAACGAACTCGGTGTTGCTCTCACTGTTGAGTCGAAAGACATGAGTCAAGTTGACATTGGCCGACTCATCAGAAGCATGTCTCGAAGTATTCGTGTATGTCTGGCCAACTGAGGTGATCTTACTCGATATCGATGACGTTGGCTGCAAAATGCAAATTTGACCCCGACTTCTTTAACGACCTGGTGCATCATCATCTCACCACACCAATCCTTAGAACCCATTAGATCTGATCGCCTACTCCCCAGCTGATATGATCATATCATTTCCATTTCCCAATACCATATAGATCTGAAGATAGTCTCTGCCATTACACAGCCCGCCTCGCATCCTAACACTGTCCCCATGTACATTAAGTACATTGACGTTAAGTATGACTCAATTCCACTCGGATTCACTCGGCTTGTTCCGCTACCTACAGAATACTACAGGCAGCAATTGTATGATTGAAATGACAGGGGCGTAGCCTATAGGCACAACAGGCACGTGCCTACACTTACATTTTGTTTTTAAAATATCGTTATATTTAAAAAAAAATATGTCTTTGTGGCTGGATATCAGTGTACTGGTGAGAATGAACTATGTGTGCACAAATACGTTTCTGTGAGCATTGAGAGAGTCATTGAAGTATTTGGCGGTTTGAAGAAGGGATGCATTGACTTCATTTGAGATGTAGATGGTGATGCAATGATTACACATTATTTAATGGAATGTAAACTAATTGCCACCTAAATAAATGTACAATAAACAATGTTTTTTACAGCCTGTATGTTTTGTTATATTTGCTACAATGATGTATGAATAAACAGCACTAAATTGCATATCCTGCAATCTTTAAATGTGAAGCTTTTCTCCCCCATCCCCAGTTGACATGAGCGCTTTGTGCTTTCGGTTCAGAAGCTTCGTGGCCCACAGTTACAGTACTGAGTTGGTTGTCTACACTTGTCTTTAGTATTAGCTACGGGCGGTCGGGTAGCCTAGTGGTTTAAGCGTTCGCTCGTCACGCCGAAGACCCGGGTTCGTTTCCCGACATGGGTAAAATTATTCCCATAAAATTACACAGCCCATTTCTGGTGTCCCCCGCCGTGATATTGCTGGAATATTTCTAAAAGCGGCCTAAAACCATACTCACTCACTGGTGTTAGCTACGCCCCATGGCATGACTTCACTGTAAACCATGGAACAGACGCAAGTGTACTCTGGACATCTAATCAGGTCGACACGACTTCCTTCAATAAACTACAGCTCGCATAGCACGGCGGTTGTTCTTGAAGACAGGTTATCCTTTGCTTACCAGAAACAATATATGCACTTTAAATGGTTTGATTTAAAGACAAACGGAAATAATTTGAACAGTTATACAAGGTTCACGACTGTCGCTAGTTTGTGTTGTGTCACGTGCAATTCCAAAATTGATTTGACTGAGTTGAGTGGACGAGATACAGGACTCTGGACGTGACCGTCGGATTACATCACAACGACACAGTTGGGTTTAACGCCGCTTCTAACAGTATCTCAGTAGCTTGATAAGAGTGGAGAGCTCAAAGTAATGTAAATCTTAGAATTTTAATGGTCTTTTTATTTATTTATTTATCACTTGGCGAAAGACAGATGCATGGTGCTGACAGCTCAAGGATCATAAGTGCGTCGAATTTGGGATTCGAACCATTGAACAGCGGATCCTTGTATGACTAAGTGACGTAACTGTGTATAGCGGTGGGAGTGTGGACTTTGGGGATCTATTGTTACCCGAAATCCCAACAGGAGACATTGTTAAGTAAACAATACAGTTTAGACGTGATAATGTATGGAGTTATTTATTCAACCTGTGCGCTAACAATCGTGCATCTGCCTTCTGTTAGTGCGGAGAAGATCGCCTTGGTGTAGGAGTGCAATATCTATATTCTGTGTGGATATATTTTTGCATAACAAACGTGATTTATCTGCTCTTAATGCTTTATAGTGGTATCCTCGGTATAAGTGGATTTCACACGGAATTATTTATATTTAAACGTATCCCGATTTTTATACTGTATTATCTTATATTGGTCAGGTAACTATACTAGTGGTTCTCATTTTAATGGTGTTCATATATATATGAGTTGTGTTTCTAATGTCATACATTAGAAACACAACTCATTGAACAAAGCACACAACCCACACGTCGTTTGCATTGTTTCAGGTGTGAATTATTCATTGAAATATACCTTACTACCGGTACAGTTGCCTTACTGCACAAAGAACATCAGAGCCGATTGTTAGAGAGAGGAATTTGCCCTTAATGACATGACATGCTTAACGACCCGAGCAGACGACGTCTAATTGGGCATTAAAGAGATGAGACTGGCGAGATGGCCAAACAGACAGCCCCCAGCACTGTTACCGCGGGCAATCCTAAAGCTGAACTCGTACTCAGCGGAAAACCACGAGATGCCACGAGATCAATATAAGTGTCGTCTGCAGGTGGTAGCAGACGGCCTAGAGAAACCATCGCATACAAAGGACTCGCCTGCTCAGTGGGGTTTCGGTGTAGGTAACTTTCTGCCTGTTATTGTTGACGATCACACGTTCACAGCTATTTGATTTCACACCTTATGTCATCCGTCGATTTCCATCATGTTCATCAGTTGTGAAGCCAAATGGGCGTAGTTGGCCTTGGTGACAAAACCATTTTAACAACTTTCGCCGACTGTAATTGATTATTGGACGATGTAAATCAACGCCACCTGTGCCCCAGGCTAATAATACTTCGCCAACCTGGGCATTAGCAGAGATCATACTCCGGTATATGGTATCTGACATTAGTGAGAGCCCGTCCACTCCTTGACCACTGGGCAACAACGTAAGCATGCTAGATAATGGAAACACCGACCACAGTTGATCTGAAGGAAAATGGATATTCGTCTTTTTTTCGGATTGGGTTAAAGTGAAAAGTATCTGTTATATTGATCAAGACCAGAGGTTCACAACTGAACGTGAAAGACGGTACCGATAATGACGACCTGTTGGATTAAACGCAGAAGAAAGTGGACAACGTAAGCGTTGAAATTGGACATTTGCAGCATATGTTACTTCGGAATATATGCATTACGAATACGGATTAATTTAAGCTTGTGTCATTCTACTTGATCTGGATTATTCCCTGTTATTAGCACGTGTATGTCAAGGCAACACCGACGAGCAAAAGTGTAAATATGCTCGACCTGCCAGTATCTTCATCCACACTGATGAACCAGCGAGTGGATTTTACGCTGGCGGAACACTTGATTATTACTGCAATGAATTAATATATACTGCGTTCTCACTAAGATAGGTTCGTGTTTGGGTTTGAAGAAGAATTGATATTTCCAACGCTGCCATTTTTAGAGGATATAGCGGAACAGATTCAAGTGGTATGGTGGTTGCTGGACAATTCCAGCAACGTTCGTACTTGTGAAGGAAAACTAAATTAACTGATATGATAATGGTAAACGTTTGTAATATTACCATTGATGACAGTTGAATCATTTGCGTGACAAACTTATAGGACTCGTGTCGTGTAGAGATCTGCACAGTAGATGCATAGGAATTACACCGCCCCGGTCCATCGGGGCCCAGTGCTAGACCCTTCTTTTAGCAGGAAGGACTCGGACAATAAGGTACCCCAACAGGCTATGTCCACAAAGATCCTGGGTCTAGGTCTGTTTTTAGTTGGAGTACTTCTGTTATCTGTTGCTCTCATCATTGGACTGGAGTTTCCCAAATATGTGCGCACTAAAATAATTGAAGACCAGTGTATTCTAAACAAAGATCATTCCAAGTTTGAATCGTGGGTAAGTCGCTTTAAGTTTTTTTCATCTTCTGAGTGTTGTGTTAGAGCCAAATCCATTACCTATGGTACAAGATGTTATGCAGAGAAAGAGGGAAAATAAATGTATACCGAATAATGGATTTGGGACTTTGGGGGCATTGGCAGGGACAATTATATACAAACATACGTCAATCGTTGGATTGTCTTGTCCAGACTCGGTTAAATTACTGACTGCCATCGTGTAGCTGGAATACTGCTGAATGCGGCGTTAAGTAACAAACAAAACAGCAACCAAAAATATAAATACTTAATGGATATAATTTCAAGGTCCTATGGACACTACTTTGTGAGAATATTTCTAATATACCCTTTCCGTTCCGAGATGACATTCCGCCCACTGAAATACCTCTATCAGAATTTACATGTATTCTAGTCAAAAGAAGTTGAACTGATCTTTTACAAATATAAAACATGACCTGTCTCCTTACATTAAAAAAAACTATCGGAAGAAAAGTATTATTTTATTGCGGCCTAACCAAGATTTAGATATATACTGCTTAAAAGAAGTTAAAGAACACCCGATTTTGACTACGGTTAATCTGTCAAAGCTGGTGGGTATTGTAACACACAACCTTCCAATTTTAGGTGCTCTTTTAGTTGTTTTGAGTTGTAAACATCGCCATACTTTTAACACTTTTATGCATTGTGATGAAGATGCATATCGGTAATATTGAATCAGTATAATTTCATTTATCCTTGAAATACTCCTCGATGTTGAAATAGTTCACTTATCTTTTTTAGCGGAACTCAATTTAATTACATAAACCACAATATCTACTGTCAACGTTTTATGCACACATCCAGTCGTGTATTAAAGAAATATATATACACAACATGAAAGTAAGTAAATGCATATTTATATTGCGTTGTATCCATGCCGCGAAGAATGCTCCTTGCCTGCACAATTACTACCCTGGCCCAATTACATTCTCAGCTCCCTGGGGAGTATAGAACCCAAGCTGCCATTCAGGCATCACAATTTTTTGCATTCACATTACCATCTCATTCAATATACATCATGAGAACATGTTTTGTACGACCTTTGTTGAAAGTCGTGGATTGTATTCCAAGTACCATACTGTTTTTGTTATTCATGTTAAATTCCACAGTGCAAGGATATGAATATGATACATCAATATGGGCGTATAAGAGTCGTCAAAATATATTCAGTATAACGTTTCACATTTATTCCGTAATTTGACTTATAATATAATGTCCCATATACCTTGTTTGTTTGAGATATTAAATCAATCAATTCTAAATGACAGTGATCTGTGGCGTAGAGATAAATAGAGACAGGACACATGGCCGCCGTGTGCCCATACATCCCCACTCCGCTTCATATCCCAATCTACTGGTAAAGATACGTTGTTTTAAATTACAAAATGTTAACTGTCGTTACTACAGAGCTATCAAATAATAAACACAAAGTTTTCAAGTAAATAGGTATCAGTTTTGCATTCTCAAATTTTGCAACTTGAATCACACATATATTGTACGTCAGAACAATCGAAATAAAATGACGTTCGTGCAGGCATACGATCATATAAAAGAGTAGATCGAAAGAAGCCCTTGTTTTCAAACTGAATTTGAAAAATAATATAAACAGTTCGAGATATTCTTTTGCCCGTCCCAATAAAAGAACATATAAACTTTGTGAAGGACGTTTCCAACTTTGACGCATCAGTGACTAAATTGATCCCCGATGCAGCTCCCTTTTTTGAGTTGTACTTTATGTTCCCGTGTTTTTTGAGTTGAACAACTGACGTGCCTTTGCGTGTGTTTGTGATGGATGTCGCCGGTTGGGCAGGATATGCTCAACGTCTGCAAACACCTGGTGTCGTCACTATTTAATAATGATTCATAAACACATGCCCATGATACAGTCGGAATCGTACATTCGACTCTGCTTTTAGCAGATTTCCTATGACTATGGAAATTTATAGAAAGAGTTTTGTCGCTTTTGTTTACAAATTATTATGATATATAATATATAATATATCCAGTGTACATGACCTGTATCTATGACACAGCCCAAGTTACCTAATTCTTCATCTATAATCATATAAGACGTTTTTACAAATGAATTATCTTAAATAAATAAATATTGTCATATTTGTAAAAGTTAAATCGATCGATCGTCGCTTTATTTTTTATTAAGGTTTCACCACAAAAGGCCCGCCGTCATATAGCTGGAATATTGTCGAGTGCGGCGTTAAGAAACAAAAGAAACAAAACCACCAAAGGCCTGGTTACGTCATCCAGACATTTTATGGCAGATATTCGAAGGCATTTACTGACTATGACTGGACGCTTGTAAACATGAAACGCGATGCTTGCCAATGCTATGACCTGTAACTGGAGTTTCACACCTCTTTACTCTCTGGCACTTACTTTTGTTAATGAAAATTGCGTGAGTAGCGAGTGCTGCCGAGAGAGGACAAGTTCATCTTTTCGCGAACAGCAATCCTTTCAAATACATTTCATCACTAGTTTAGTTCTCACGTCCTATGGAATCTGTTTCGGCAAATCTACCCTGGAATCTCCGTGTGGTAAAATTATCTTTTGTATTTCTTTTGAGATAATCGGGCTGTCTCAGCCTTGCTATCACGTAATATAAGTATGGTGTCTGCATACCATACACTCATATGTTAACATAATATAATTGACCACTTCATTTTACACCCGGAAGATAGCTTTAAGCCAAGATAACCTCACAGGGTCAAGTACCCGATGTAGCTATATTGAGCCAGTATCACTTACAATTGTGGCATTAATTATACAGAAGGACAAATATAGAATGGTTCTTTGGAACAGATAAGATGGAATATGTTGCCATAACGACACACAGTAAAACTGTCATTTGACAGTAAACATGAGACTGTACGGGTTATGTATTTATAGGCTTCAAACAAATACATGTGATGTGTTGAGCATTAACATAGGGACACTCATCACAGGTATTGTTAAAACATACATGAATAACTATTATAGTGTTGCACCCCATGGGTCTTCCGGGACACAATTGGTGTGGAGTAAACCCTGGCAAATAGGATGAGCCGGGTAAAATGATCACCGTGTGGTTAAAATGATCCCGTGGCAGGTGTTACCGGTAGGGCAGGGCATGCTTACCCTTGTTCGTGAACACCTGGTGTCATTGCTAATTTTCAGCGGTAGTGGCGCTGTTTGGCCTTTTGCGCACAATGGAATCGGCGGATGGTCGAGACTGGTCGTTCTCCGGCGTTGACGTTTTGTGATACAGAGTGTGGAATGTCTGATTGCGTTCCATCGTATCGGTACCTTGCATCGTTGCCTTGCTGAGAGTGCTTTCAGTCTGTGGTTTGTCTGGTCCAGACTCGAACATCTGACCGAGATTATGTGACACTCACTGACAGATTGTTGCCAAACATATTGAAAGAAACACAGCCACTTACATAGTTCAATATCATCAATAGGTTGCCACTTATTATAACACGATCGTTAAACACAAAAAAATATTGAACAAGTGTGACCTAGGTATCTAAATTGTAAAGGAAATAGGCCACACTTCAAATTGAGAAATTTCGACCGACATCACTGTCATAATGGAAGATCCATGCAAAAATGTGAAATTAACTCGACAAAGAAGACCGGTTTAGTCTCATTACATGGTAAACATTATAGACACATGTCAAGACGTTATCTACACGGCATGCAACGAATGTTCTGGAAGCGTTATATCTGGGACAGTTAGAACTACATCATTGTCTTCTTGATTCTACGTTTCAGCCTCATGGATGCAGAATGTTCTAAAACTTGCCCTACAACAATTTGAGAGAATGTGAACACATATTGAAAATGTCAAATCAAGGTAAATATGAGACGTCGATGTCAGAGAATTACCACTCTCAGAAAGAGAATCCAGGTAAAATAGCCGAGAAAAGTATCTGCATGGATCACTGAACATCAGTGTGCTCGTGAGAAAGGAAATCATGTCCTGTTCTACCGCTAGCATCCGCCACTCCCACAATGTACATAAAGAAGTGAATGCTTGTAGCGTGACTCTACACAGTAGTTCTCCTGCCATGCGACCTATAAACAAAGCAGACAATCAAGTGATCGATGGACCAGAAAATCCAGTGACACGACAGCGTATTTACTGAGTTTGTTGAAACTAAAAACGATATTTTAATTTTGAATTACGTCTGCTGTTTACAAGTGAGGAGTTTGTGCTTAAAAGTAAAGAACACGTTTAAAAAATATATTCCTGTTGCACCCGAGGGGGTTCTCGGCCCATGGTTTTCTTTGTAGTCAACCACCGCCCTGTATAGCCATGTATAATCGAGCCCTCCGCAGAGCCCACATACCAAATGCCATCTAATGTATGACAGGCCTGTTTGGTTCATTGGGACAAATTGAAATTAATTTCGGATTTATTTAAACAAGTGACTGACTCCTTGCAAATTTCAGCTTCATCGGACCTGTTTTGTCAACTTAAAATACTAGATGAATTTTCAATGGGCAGATTATCTATGTGCTTACAGGGTCATCATGGAGGCTATACAGAATAACGGATAACTGATAACTCCCGCCATATCTGTAAGGAATGTGCACGGGCTTCTTCCCTAGTAACGGTTTCTATTTTTTTCGCCGCCTCGCTAAAATAACGGGTTTTGGGCGCTTGCCCCCCAATCAACGACTTGAACAAATGCTGTCGTAAGTAAAGGTCATTTTTAGTTTCCAAAGCTTATGAAAAATACAAATAGTATGTATTTATTGAGATGTATCCCGCGATGTTTTTCCACGCCCAAGCCCACGCCCAGTAGAATCTGTTTCGGCGAATAATCAAGACTGGTCATTGTCTGGCGTTGATGTTGACGTTTTATATAAACCCAATGCCAGAACGATAACCTTTCCATATAATTTTCAGGACAGTCGCAATATGGGTTATAAACTTAATGTTAAAATGTCATATTTTCCCAT